TTCCAGGTCACCTGATAATTTTATGCAGGCATTTCCTTCTCTTTCTTTGCACATATCTACTTTTAAAATGGTTATAATTTGTGTTCAGAGTAAGAGGACCATCTTTTCTACACTTCAAATTGCAGACTTTTAAGTATAAATTTGTGCAACAAATTTATTGAGCCATGTGCCAGACACTCAGCAAGAAATTGGAGTAGGTGCAAAGAGTCAAAAGCCCTTCTCCTAAGAGGTTCTTGTCGTAGTAGGTGAAAGAGTTGAATCACTGCAGTTTGACTCAACAAGTACTTAGCTGACATGGCACCAAAACCCTCCCTGATCTGCTGCCAGGGTTCAAACCAGGTTCTACCTCTTACATAGCGACAGGTATTTCTTCTTGGTGTTCGTCATCTTTGTGATTTTTGTCTCTACCTCTGTATCTGTTTAATGCCTGTCTTTGCCATTAGTCTTCATGTTCCATGAGGATTAAGGTCAAGAAGACATGATCTTGTAGCATTTAGCAGAGACTGATACATGTACATGTTCAATGGATGAGTCAAACCAGAGGAGAAAATAATAATTCTATGTAGAAGAGCAGGGAGAAGCCTCAGAGGAGATGTGACACTTACATTGAGCCTTGGAGGATAAAGAGGAGGCAACCAGTGGAGAAGAAGAGGGACACATCAAGGAATATGGAGTATTGAGGAATAATGTGGTGGGAGGAGGTAGATGATGTTTTCTGAAATGGGAGGATAAGGTTGTGTGAGGGGAATAAGATTGAGTTGAAGCCTGGTCCATAGTTAAAGGGTCATAGTTTAAGAGTCCAGTGCCCTGTTCACAGATTTGGGTTTCTCTTTTGTTGAGAGAAAAAGATAAGGGCCTAAAAAGGTGAAGGGAAGGTTGCCAAACAAGAAAAATTGGGGAGGGGAATTCAGGCATTAGGTATTTCCAAAAGAGACCTAAGCAGTTCTACTTTGCTAGAAATTCCTCCATTGTATCAAGCCAACCTGGTCCTCATTCTGCCCCTGGGACCCGAGAGACCCAGCCTCTATGGTCTGGGGGTAGTAAATTAAATTATTTGGCTATGGAGATGAATATCAATTTTTCTGTGTTACTGAGAGGTCTTTTTTAAAAACTTAAATTCAGAATTCTGGAAGAATAGATATAAATCCCCAAACTGTGGTTTTGTGTTTTATTTCCTTCCACAAATACCCTCTCCATTTCCGCCTTGTAGCTGTCTTTGCCAATTGCCAAAACATCTGTCCCTACATTAAAATGATTATATAACATTATTATCACCATGAACATACAGAGTCAGCCATCAGCTTTAAATACCAAGGAGGTAATATATCTGATATTTTTACAATTCAGTTAACTTTCCAATGTTTAAATATGTGTTTTGGGGATGCTTCATTTTTCTTTTTTGAATACAGGTGTTCAGAGCTACCCAAACATTTCTATAAAGTACCATTTTTCATAAAAGCAGTGAGGCTTTTATTATTATGATGATTCCTTTGAAAACCAATGATCTGTGCCTAAGACAACCCTTTCCATATTACTTTACCCTGAACGGAATGAGATTGGTTGAGAGTTCTGCCCCCAAGGAAATATCAAAGCCTCCGAAACATACTCAATTATAGTTTTAAAGTTAACTCTCTTATCAGATTTCCTTTTATTTCCTGCTGGGCCAATGTGAGCAGAGCTCAGATAGAAGCAAAGAATCTGCTATATATCTTTTCAAATTTATGATTAAGAAGGTCACATATACATTTTTAAACACACTCCTTTTTGATAATAAATGAAGAATAAAATTTCGAAATGTCATCAGCAGCAGAATTGCTCATTTTTCTTTTGTTGGCGTTCCCCCCTGCCCCTGTCTAATTGCCTGACCGATCCAATGCTTCATTTCTTGTTGTACGTCTGCCTGGAATCGTTTCACTGGTAGAACAGTGTGCCTGTGGCCAAAGCATTATAACCAGAAGATGCATTCCTCTTCCTGAGTGCCTTTCTTTCCCCAAGCCAACTTGAAAAAAAATAATAACAATAATGAATGAAGAATTCCATTTTAGGCTACATGTTTCTTCAAATGATGGCCCAAACAAGAAGTATAAAGAAACTTTTCTCGGCCGGGCACAGTGGCTCACACCTGTTATCCTAGTACTTAGGGAGGCCAAGGAGGCCAGATTGCCGGAGCTTAGGAGTTCAAGACCACCCTGGGCAACATGGTGAAACCCCATCTCTACTAAAATACAAAAAATTAGCTGGATGCAGTGGCAGACACCTGTAGTCCCAGCTGCTGAGGCTGAGGCATGAGAATTGCTTGAGCTTGGGAGGCAGAGGCTGCAGTGAGCTGAGATTGCACCACTGCACTCCAGCGTAGGCGACAGAATAAGACGTTGTCAAAAAACAAAACAAACAAACAAAAAAAAATGCAACTTTTCTCTTCTTGGTTGGGATTCCTGGATTCAGTTCCCCTCTCTACGTTTCTCTACTGTGCTCTCTGCTTCTAGAGTGTATTCTGTATGAAGTCTGTCAAAAAGATCACTTGCCACTTCCGACTGTTGTTGGGTTCAGCTAATGAGAGCTGCCACAGGGGACCAGAGGAAGGGTATAAGGTGTAGTCAGGGCATTTTTTTGCCTCTGGTTCTCTCCCTGTGAGGTTGTCTATGACTGGCTGGGACTTTCAAGAGAAAGCCGCTGCTTCTGTTCACGGTGCCTCCTCTTCACAGCTCTCTCCTTTGGGGCTCTGGTTACTGCTTCCTCTATGTGTTCCTCTGGTCCCATAGGTAATAAACAGCTCTCTGATTGACATGCTGTTATATCCTGGGTCCCTATACGCTTGTGACCTTTATCAGCAGACCTTTTATAAATAGACCTTCTTCAAACTGTCCTCATTTGCGTATGCCATCTGTCATTCTCCTGTGAAGTCTACACCTAGATCATGAGATTCATGTTTCAAGGAGGATGCTATCAAACTGGAATTTGTCCCACCTGAATGCCTCTAAAGCACTTCTAAGTTGAGATCTAGGGTTTGTTTTTCTTTTCTGTTTTCTTTTTTGTTTCTTTGTGTTTTTGTTTTTGTTTTGACGGGGTCTCTGTCACCCAGACTGGAGTGCAGAGGCGTGATCTCGGCTCACTGCAGCCTCCACCTCCTGGGCTCAAGTGATCTTACCACCTTAGCCTGCTGAGTAGCACAGGTACGCACCACCACACCTGGCTAATTTTTGTAATTTTTGTAGAGATGGGGTTTCACTGTGTTTCCCAGGCTGGTCTCAATTCCTAGGCTCAAGTGATCTGCCCGGCTCAGCCTCCCACAGTGCTGGGATTACAGGCATGAGCCATCGTGCCCAGCCTAAGTTGAGGTTTATCATTTCCTTTTATACTTCCTTTGGCAGCGAGATTGTTACCTCTTGAAACTATCTGTTTCGTGATCAGTGGGGCTCAACCTTGGAAAATTATTCCCTGTATTGCACTGCATTTGACCTCTCTGGGACATCTCTTCTTTGTGTGTTGAGACAGGAATGACCAAAATTGAATTTGAAGCCTACTCTTGTGAAGGACGGAGCAAGGGACCTGGAGAAATTTACTCTCAAGATATCTGATGTTTAACCTATAGCCTTTCATGTGATAGGACTATGACAGCTATATTTAGATGCATATTTGTTGGAAAAACTCAGAGGGACCATGTTGGCTTTTTAGAAATATTTGAATAACTCTTATATGCAAGAGGAGTTAGTCATATTTTTGTATCTCTTATGATATATCTAAGACCAATCCAGTTAAAATGTAAAGGACATAGATTTTAAATCCATAGAAAAGAACTTTTTAACCTTTTAGTTCCTCAGTGAGGTCAGAGTCTATGTTGCTTGCAAGAATTTAGGGAGAGATGGGATCCCACAGTGGGGCTGCTGGAGAGGGAATTAGAACATTGCAATATAGTTGGATCCACTGGCAATAGTATAAAAAACAAGAATAGCAACTGCTAGGCATCAAGTGTCCACTATATGCAAGGCACTGTGCTCTGTGTATTTTACGCATTGTCTCATTTAATCCTCACAGCCCAATAAGATTGGTCCTGTCATCTGCCACAGTATATAGAGGAATAGTTCAGGATTTAGAGTAAGAAATTTGCCCTGGGTCTTGCAGCTAGTTGGCAGGCAGCAGAGGTAACCTATGAACCTGAGTCTGTCTGACACCAAAGCTGATGGTTTTAACCTCCAATGGTTGGTGTCAGAATCACCTGGGGAACTTGATGGCCATGTAGAATTCTAGGTCCTGTCCTACTTCAGTGATCCGGAGCCTCTGTGTGTGTGTGTGTGTGTGTGTGTGTGTGTGTGTGTGTGTGTGTGTGTGTGTGTGACTCTTCAGGTGGTTCAAATTTACACCAAAGTTTGCGAAGCACTGCTCTACACTATTATTATCAAAATAGTGATATTATGATAATATCCGTCTGGTTCTGAGGGTCTTTTATTCCCATAGGAATAAGACTGCATCAATTCAGCTGTAACTTTCCTTCTTTTGAGCTGTGAAACTAACCTGCACACTCATCCACCTCCAACCACCAGCCCCTGCTTCACTTTACTATTATTTGGTGGGTTTTTGATGAGCTCAGTTCCTGAGAAAGACAAGTCTCCATTTTTAATTTCATTCAGAGCCACAGAAACAGAAAGGCCAGTGTAGCCACTTCCTCCCTCTGAAAGGAGACTTGGGGAAAGGAATACAAGTCTTGTTGATTTCCTCTGAAAGGAGAGTGGGGGAAGCATTGTACGAGTCTCATTGATTTCCCATTTTAGGCTCAAACATAGAACACACGCATTGTCGGGGGTGAGGCAGCAGCGTGAGTCTCCTATTTCTGAGTAAACGGAAACCATTCATGGTTTGTTCTGCCTTGATTCTTTTTCTGGAGAATGAACCAGATTTGGGGGCTGAGGATGAGGATTGGGGAAGAACAATCTATCTTCCCAATGCTTTAATGCAACTGCCACCATCTGACTGTGGTTTTTCCCCTTGCACATGTCCCAAAGGAAGCTGGCCAAGAAGCAGAAGGAGACCCAGAGTGGAGCCCAGAGGGAGATGGGGCCTGTGGCCTCTGCTGACAAACCCACCACCAAGCTCAGCGCCAGCCGCAATGATGAAGGCTTCTCTTCTAGTTCTCAGGACGTCAACGGATTCAGTAAGTAGAGTCAACAAAGGGGAAGGGGACATCCGTGGTCCAGCTCGGCCCTAGTACTTCTGCTGTGAACCCGACACATTGATCAGGCGCTGCCAGGCATAGGGTATGGATGCTTCCCTGAGATGGACTGGGATGAAGGTTCTCCCTGACAAAGACTTGGGGCAGTTCATCCTAAGGTGAAAAGGAATATTTAAAAAATCAGATGGAAATGGGAGCAAGTCATCCTAACTGCTTGTGGACATAAATAGAGACAGGTTAAAAATAATAGCAGTAAAAAAGAAAGAGGAGGAGGATGGTTATGTCCTTAAGGAGAAAATATGCCACACTGAATGGAGTAGCTTAAGATTTTCAAATCTGTGTTTCACATCCACCACATAAGGTAGGTGAGTCATAGATTATGACTGTCTCCACTCTGAGTGCTTAGGAAACTGAGGCTCAGAGAAGCAACTTATCCAAAATACAATGGCTGATGAGTTACATATTTAGAGTGGAAGCCACATCCCTCAGACGTTTGCCAGTTCCAAGCCACAGCCAACGTTCCAAGTGGCATTGGTCAAGGGCACCTGAGTCCTTGTGCAAGATTTGAGTGGTTAAGGTATCAGGGTTAACTCTTATCCTAAGGAGAACTCCAAGACTGCCAATATCTAAGGCTTCCTTGTGGATAGACTGGCTTCTGTTCTTATAGCCATGATATCAGTCAGTTAATAGACTAGATTTCCCAGCCTCTTCCCAAATTGGGTAATGCAAGAAGTCTAAAAGAATCTGTACATACACGGATGTCCTCCACATACCATGTAAGCTACAAATGGAAGAAATTCCATTTTGTAAAAATCACTCAAGATATGATCAGTTGGGGATGATGGGGATCTATGAGAGGATAAAGAAAGAAAGAAAAAAATTCTCCCCTTCTATAATGTAGACACTGTCTCTCATCCTCACCATAGTCCTGTAAGATCTTTAGTATTATTGCTCCCATTTTATAGGTAAGGTATGCAATGCTTAGTGTGTTTGGCCAGCCATCCCAGAGCCACACAGCTTGTTTTAAATGGATCCAGATCTGAGAGTAACTCAGGCCCATGATTTCTAAGCTCCAGTGCAGCACAGAACCCACCTGGGGAAGCTTTCAACACATCCATATCTGGGCCCCACACCTGATCTCCTGAATCAAAATCTCCTGGGGGATGAGAGGTGGGACCCAACTGAGGGATATGGATTTTGTAAGTCGTTCAGAGAGTTCTCATAGGCGCCCAGATTTAGAATACAGCACTTGGACAGAGGCAACAGCTATGCTCAGATACTGATGTGCTGCCTTCGGGAAGAGAGATTAGTTTAAACCTACAAAAATGTTGAGAAGATTGCCGAATGAATAGTCATATACCCTTTACCTAGATTCACCAATTGCTACCATTTTGCAACATTTGCACTTTTGCACTTGGCTGTACTCACCCTCTCTCTCTTTCTCCCCTTATCCATGTTTTTTTTCCCCCCAAATATTTTGGAACCATTTAGAAGTAAGTTGCAGACATCATGACACTCTACCTCCAGAGAATTCAGTATGTGTTTCCTAAGAACTAGGACACCTCTTCAACATAACCACAATAAAGTATAATCTTACTTCAGTGATCTAATATACCAGTTCACAGTCAAATTGCCTCAATGTCCTTCAAATGTTCTCTATTGCTTGTTTGTTTGTTATTTTAATCCAGGATCCAATCAGAGTGCTCACATTGTATTTGGTTTTCAGGTGTCTCTCTTTGATCTAGAACAGCCCTCTCAACTTCATTTTTTCTTTCAGGATACTGACTTTTTTTTTTTTTTTTTTTTTTTTTAAGACAGAATCTCGCTCTGTCGCCCAGGCTGGAGTGCAGTGGCGCAATCTCCGCTCACTGCAAGCTCCGCCTCCTGGGTTCACACCATTCTCCTGTCTTAGCCTCCCAAGTAGCTGGGACTACAGGCACCTGCTACCACACCCTGCTAATTTTTGGTATTTTTTTAGTCGAGACGGGGTTTCACTGTGTTTACCAAGATGGTCTCAATCTCCTGACCTCGTGATCCGCCCACCTCGGCCTCCCAAAGTGTTGGGATTACAGGCATGAGCCACCGTGCCCGGCCTTGACATTTTTTTAAAGTCTAGGGCTGTGGTCCTTCAGAGTGTTCCACAATCCAGATTTGTCTACTTTTTTTCATCATGATTACATTCAGGTTAAACATTTTGGCAAAAATATGACATAGCTGATATGACGTACTTCACTTTGCATCGTATTAATAGACACATCATACTACTTTGCACATTACCCGTGATGGTAAGTTTGAGTTCTTCTTAAGGTTAGAGAATGGCTTTTAAAGACAAAGTCTAATGGTACATACTGCTTATGAGCAAATATTTAACTTCTATTTTTCTTAGGGATCAGAGCAAATTTGCGGTTTGCCTAACCATGAAGCCAGTCCTTTTTTTCCCATTTTCAATCCAGATAAATCACTGAGACTCATACATTTCCTAGAAGCAGGGAAATTGGTTGTTGACGCAGACCAGGGTTGACAAGAAAATGGGCTTGATTTTTCCTTAAAAGAAAGGAACATCCTAGCTATAATTTTGCATCTGTAAACCAACCTGTGTTGCAAACTTACAGGTAGCAAGGAAGAATAAGTTCTAATGTTCTATTGTACTGTAGGGTGACTATAATTAACAACAGTTTATTGGATATTTTCAAATAGCTAAAACAGTGGATTTTGAATGTTTCTAACACAAAGGAATGAGAAATTCTGAGGTGATTAGTATATTAATTATCTTGATTATTATACACTATATACATGTATCACACTATACCCCATAAATATATATAATTAATTACTGTCAATTAATAATAATAGAAAAATGAGAAAGGCTTATCAGGAGCTCATTGAGTCTCTGGGTATGCTAAGGTGTCACTGCATCCCCTGTTTTTGGCCCTGGAGCAGAGAAGTTCATTTGCAAGTTTATCTGATTGAAAATACTGGCCAAGTAATACCAATTCATCCTTTTCTGTCCAGTCCAGCCTCTTGTGCTCACTTTTTTTTCAGTTTGTAAAAGTACCCTGGGAGGACTCTGAAAAGCAAAATGATTATGGCCAAAAATTCATGACAATCATTGTGACCCTGAAATTTTAGATATTGGTTCTCAATCTTTCTGATCTCAAATGCAAGCCTGGGTAACACTGAATTCTTGTGTTTGAAAGGAGAACATTGTCACTGTTCGCTATGGGCCAAAACTTAGACCCTTAAGATGAAAACACCCAAGACTGAAATAGTTTAACTTGTCATAAAGGAAGAGGAGAAATATCCAACGAAACCTAATTAGATGTTTTAAAGGCCAGGGACAAACTTTCCAAATGATTGAGGTATGTATGTATGTGCATGCAGACGTGTTTTATATTTACACAGACATGTAAATACATACAGAGATTTATAAACCTACACAGTCATCTATACACAAATATGCATCTATAACTGCATATATGCATTCATTATAACAGTATTGCTTTCTAAAAGATTTCAATAATGATTGACTTATTATGCTCAATTATTAGAAAATTTTGCATTTGTCTGAATCACTGAATACATCAGGACTCTCTATGCATCTGACGTCCTCAGGCTACAGCTGCAGAAACACTCTCAGAACCTTTTGACTGCCCTAGAATGCATCAGGTACCTTTTAAAATGCCCTGTGGAACCACTGGGATGAGATTTGAGGGGGGGAAATGTAAGTAATGCTTACACCGGAGATGAGAAATTGCTTCTGAAATCACCCTGATGTATGTAGAATTGAATCGATTTTTGTGACGTTAGGGAAGTGACTGCCTGGCTTCTGAATCGGTGTCTTTAGGAGGCCCTGAGATTACGTGCAAATGTTGAGGGAGCATTGAGAGAGGTGGGGCACAGAATAGTTGTTACATTGCAAAAGATTACAGAAGAATGTGTCTTGAGCAATTATTTCATTATTGACCAGGTGGGCCCTTCCCTAATTCAAATTCTACCTCTCCCTGCACAGGTTTATTTTCTGGGGTTTTCTATTTCAAGTCACTGCTACGTTCTGTGACATCTGTTCAATCAACTTCCTACTATTGTATAGGAACAATGACCTCCAGGGCTCTAGGGTGATGGGGCTTTGTTAGATATGGCTGTTGCTTTGGAGTGCCTTGGCATTCTTGAAAAAAGGAGTACGTGTCACATTTCAAGGACAGCCAATGTGCATTGTTTTCCATTTAAAGAAATGCCAGCTTTTATTAAGTAATCTGATTTTGATCTTACTGCCCTGTGTACTTGCTATTTTTCTCTGTGATCTTTTGCTCACTGGGATCATTTTCTGGGTCTTTCTTCTGGTGCTTAAATCTTCTTCTTTATCTCTTTTTTTCACATGTCATCTTCTTGTTCATTTTCAGTCCAAACAAAAATGCTTCAAAACAAATCCTTGTTGAAATCCTGTGATATGGGGACTTGGTTGTCTACTCTTCCCATAATGGCATTTGACAGATTCACTTGCCTACTGGGTACCAGGAGTTAACTCTGTCCTTATTTTTATGCTTCCCCTCTATTGAATTATTCCATGTCTGGAAGGTAAAGGCAATCCTTCTCTAAGGGTCATGAGACAGACACTGGGCCATCTAGCTCTCTGCTAAGTGTGACCTTGGAGGTGAGATTTAATGGCCTTTTTCTCAGTACATGCCTAACCCTGTGCTGTAAGTCATGGGGCACAGTCTGGGGAGAGAGGTAGTGTCAAAGATGAATAAAATGCGGTATTGTATCACAAACAATACATGTATCTACTTGTAAGCCTTTCAGAGTTTACAGAGTCCTTCTGCAAAACACTCCAGCAATAGTTCCTTATTCCTGTAGGAATAAGATAGCTAGTAGGTTTTTAATTACTCCCATTCTACAGATGAGGAAACTGAGGTTCAGAGAGCTTTCATGGCCCAAATCATACGTATATTGCAGAGTTGTAATGAGAATACATTTCTCCTGAT